ATTCATATCATGGAAAGCTTTGATGTTATATGCAACTCTAAGAACTGCAAGGGGGAAGATTACCCTTATTTTGTTCCATGTATGTTGAAATCACCCAAGAAGAATACGAGAGGCACAAACATGCGCACTGGCCCTTTGCCCGTATTTCTCACATTTAACACCAACTACGTTCCAAGTGGGCTGTTTTGCAGACTGGTTGTACATTTTTGGGAATGGGCCTCACAATTATGCCGTGACCCCCGTATGGCCCCTTCGTTGTTTTCAAACGCCGCCCGATTCAATGTCAGTGAAGTGTACCAGCTCACTCTAGAGTGTCACAAAACTGTGATCAAGTTGATAATCTGGACACAGCGAGACTCAGATGGAATGGAAGAGAAAAGAATTTGCGAAGAATTATTGAAGTAAGCCACAAACATATCGGGCATTATTTCGTTTCATTTAAACCTAATAATTACTGTTAAAGAAATATTAAATGGAATACCATAACCGAAAAAAATGATGAAATACTATCACATTGCTGTAAATAAAGGGAAACTTAAAGGCCCTCTTTAATTTTCTTGACTTTTTCAATCGTTCTGATCCCTGTGACAGGTTTTTTTTTCCAGATTTAGGACCTTTTTGGGTGCTAATTTTTTTATTAGGTAAGATGCATTCAGTTAATTGGATGTTACAATGAGTCACGCTTGCGTTAATGGCGTTGTTGATATCCTTGTTGCTATGTTTGTTCATTGCAGTCTTCTGGAGCGTTGCAGGACTAGGCTAAGCGTCACCTGTCCGTGGTTACGATCATCTACGATGGAATTGTATGTGAAATGCCAGTTGTGTGAGCCTTGTCCAGATAAGTGTCGTGACGTAACCAATATTTGCATATTGCACAAAGAGAAAGGCTGCTCTCATTTTGACTGTGGCCATTACATTCCGTTAGGCAGCTCTGGTCTGAGTTGTGAACACTCCGTTGATGCTGTTCCCGACTATCCAAGAGAAAAACTGGATCCTTGGGTTCAGGTTAGAAAAAAAACTTAGTTCAATCTACGTGCAATGAATCAGGATAATTTGAATTTCACGGTTGGCAGATAGCTTTGTCGCGCGCAACACTTTCGTAGGATATTCGATTCCCATCAAAACCTGAATTTGTCCAGGCTTTATCTTTTACAAATACTTCAAAATTTCTTTTATCTGCAATGCTCTTTCTCATATTAGGGATAAGAGACATTTGAAATTATCTTCCTTTTGCTAAACACAGAATTCGCCGTATGTTTTAGGCAGTTTATCTTAAATGATGTCAGGGTTTATAAGAAATACTTATACTCCCTTTTATTACTATTATCGCGTTTTCTTAATATCAAGTGTCAGAATCAGCTTTCCGTGAGCTGCAGCACCTTGGGTGACTTTATGTGAGGAAGCTTTTGTATACTTTTTGAAGTATTTGTAGTTTATTGTTTTCCCAGGTTCGCTACTTTTGAATTTCAGCTACAATGGTTCTTTCATTTCCAAATGTTTAGGCCTCAAAAGAGGGATAGGAAGATTCCTTTACGGTGCACGACGTCCATTTCCATATCTGATAATTATTACATACTGTTTTTTCATCCATTCGCCTTAATAAACTTGTATCCAAAAACTTACTCCTCATGAGATCACATGAGAGGTAGTCAGTTGGGTTATTAGGGTATACGTTATGAATTATTTTTATTCGTATATTTAGCTATCAATTTATTCTATTAACTTCTTATTGTAAGCGTAAAGTTGCCACTATTTCCTTCTGCTTTTTAGGCTTTGAAATCCATTGAACGTAAGAAACGAACTGGTAAGTTTTTTCATCAGAAATGATGGGTCACGTGTAAAATGAAATGGCCCTTAACGACGGAAAAACCTGAAACCTTTTTAGCGGATAAGGAGAATCGTCAAGGATATATACAAGCTTATCTATTGACCGAAAAAATATGTTCTAATTAGTTTCCCTTAACATTTGTTAAGAATGAGATACAAGTGTGTAAGTGCCACAAGAGCCCTTGCAAATTTTCAATTTTGGTGAATGTCTTTTATTTTACCCAAGTTGTTTATTGTATGGAAACGATTTTTTTCAAACTTTTCGCTCGATGGCAAACAAGAGATATGTCACCAAATCCGTTTACGTGGCGATAATGATCTTTTTCTTCCTAACAGAAAAAAGAGAACAAGAGATCATCCGTTTGCGTATGTGGACGTGCATATTTCGTGTAAAATGATGCACGGGAGGGACACATAATGCAATGGCACGAACTGTCCTTGAAACAAATTCCACAGGAGACGTTTTATTAGGAAAGGAAAAGCTCCTTTGCTACAATGAATCTTTTGGCTCAAAAAATCTGATCTAATGATTGTTTTTTACATTTGTTGTCATACAGGTGGCCGCAATGAAGAGCCATCTCCGAGTGACGCAGGTAAAATGAGGACAGATCTATAGGCATGCCTGTTAACTCCCACCTCCCACCCCATCTTCCCGCCCCCTGCCTTTGTAAAATAAAAATGCGTGGATCCAGCAAAATGGTATGAATAGTTGCGATACGTTCTACACGCTATCCCCTCATCTTGATGCTTTTCTGTGATGTCTTTATGTTTTTAGTCAAGCAAGGAGTTCCCAGTGACGAAGATTTAGAGTGGCTTTCGCACAAACTCGAAAATTGGGAGGAACTCGGGCGTCGTCTCGGAATTGACGATGCAACATTAACAGCGTTTGACGATGACTATAAGAAAAAGCGTAAAAAAATCTACAAAATGTTACGACATTGGAAAAAGAAGGATGGCTCAGCTGCAACGTACAAGGTCTTACATGATGCATTGTGTCATGAATTTGTTACGCGCACAGATTTAGCTGAGGAACTTTGCCGTCAACAACATGAATGACTGTTACTTTGTTGACTCATAGATAGCTTTTATTTCTATTTTTAAAGATTATTTCCGATTCCCGTCGAAAAGAAACAAAGTCAGCGGGAAAAAGCCGATTTAGAGTTTCACTTTTTTATCTTTATTACTGAACATTTTGTAGAGTTCACTGGTAGTGATATTAAAAAGCTGATCTGAAATGCTGGTCCAGAAAGTAAAAAAAAAGTCAACAAAATTTTTGCTGTCAACGCGCGATACGAAAATTAATGGGAGGGTTGTGAATTAAATAAACCCACTTCTAGTATGCTGGTATTTCAGGTAATAATTTCCTTGAGAGAGAGATTGTCTTGAAATTTTACCGTTCGCCCTCGAAGCTTCGCTTGTCAACCAAAAAAACTCCATTTTGGGACATTAGCTCATTCGCAGACGTGATCAGCCGAGATACTAGTCGCCAGAAGAGGTTTACGTACCAAACATTCGCTGAGTTGCTCTATCAATACCATTGCAGTGTTGTCGAAAGCATACGGCATGTTACGCATTTGCATCACAAGTGATGTCTATACGTAATGCACATGCATTCTTCCTTCAGTTGTTGGTTTGACGCAGCACTGTATTAGAAATTTGACGCGCTTTTTTCCTTCTTAATCTGTAAAAGTAATCACATGATTTCGAGTGTAATTTGGAATATATAAGCACGAGGGAATTTTTTTATAGACTAACAAAATTGCATTGGATTACCTGAAAACTGTATTTATCTTAACCAATCAGAACTGAGTTATTTTTTTCATGTATCTTGTGTTTCGATCAAGAAATTGAGAAAAATGTCGAGTTGAGTCACTTTTTGTCAAAGAATTTGTGTAATCTCGAGGAAAAGACTCCGTAAATGTCTAGGCAACTAAAGGTTCCCTTACACTCGATTATGCTTGGCAAAAGGCAAAGTTCTTGAAACAGTCAGCTTGCCTTATAATAATATGCATTTGATATTGGAAGTTCATCTTTGGTTCATTGCCTACGATAATTTACGGTGTAGAATATTTGTCAACGAAACGTTTCCGTAAAAATAAATGAAAGTTTTGACATAACTAACGGCCTATAGAACTATTCTATAGCATGGAAAATATGTTTGGTAAAAACAAATGGTAGAGGTTTATGATTTCATCAGGGCTTCCTTACTGCTTTTAGCTGGAAGAAAAGAAAATATCGATTTGCCATTATTTCTTTTGTGTGTATGTCTTTTGTCTTTTAGAAAAGCCTTTGAGCATCTTTGGCTTTAGATTGAGTAGTTTGGTTGGAGCCCAATCATTGGCAGTTATGCTGTTTTTCCGGAATAGTTGTTGTGGGTAAAATTTCTTTCTACCAAATAGTGAGAAGTAAAATCTTTATAAAGCGAACAGCTGGATAGGTAGTTAATGTCTATTCATAACAAAAAAGTTGCACTTCGAGTTTATTTTTTGGCATAAAATTGTGACCGACAGAGCTTTCTTAAGTTTTGCAATATATTTGATAGTTTAAAGTACTTAATATCACTTTTTTCAATCGAATGTTGCAGACCTGACGCATTTATGAAGCTATACAGGAAACCAATTCTCTGTTATGAAGCCGCGGTTCTATAATGATATTGCCAAGGTGTTAAAAAAGTGAAAATCTCGGGAAAAATAAGTCTCGATAAATCCACAGTATTGTCTCATTGAAAACTGAGATACTTGCAAAGATGAAGTTTACACGTTGGCACATGGCTGTTAGCGTTGTAGGCGGGTAAGTATAGTCAGGTGTCATCACCCTTTCATATCAGGAGCCTTGACAAAAATACTTTAACCTGAGTTTGAGTTCCTGGACTAAAGACCTTCGCTTCCCATTCTTCTCTAATAGCAAGGACATTTACCATAAGAAACTTTCAATGAAACTTATTTTCACGATATGGAACTTGACAGAAAAATCAGAGTGAATGAAAGAAAGCGAATGCAAGGCTATCGTAAAATTTGAGATTTATTATGTCTAAAGACTTTTTCAATCTACTTATGCCGTATCTACTGTGTTCTGCAGCCTAAACTTTAAATATAACAAACTGATATTTCTTGGAAATAAGCAATATTATTTCGGCAACTGCATGCAGGTTAAGGTCCACAGTCGGTAACATCAAAAAAAGGAAGGTGAGGCGTCCTTATGGAACTAAAGTTTTTTCAATTTTATTTTCTTTAATTGTTAGTTAACAGGAATACATACGTTGTTGAAAATAACGGAATGGAAAAAAAAAAGGAAAAAAAAGTATGCGAACATTATTTCAAGCCGAATCTCTTTAATTTTATCGTAAAGGTCTGCCTTATCTCAATAGCTGCTAGATGCCCCTGGAACATTCAAACGTTTGATCACGACTTTGCACGTGTAAGGGTTCAGTGCCACTGCCATTGTCTCATCCGTTTCTTCGGGATTTGTTTCCTCTGGTAAGGACAAGGCTTCGTTTGCTTTAATAAGAGAAAAAATTTGATCAAATCTTAATGGAAAAAATGAGACAATTAAGATGAATTGAATACGGTGCATCTGGTTTAAACCTCGTTTGCTTTCGATTGTAATTTCCTTAGAAGACATTTCAGTTGTTAGGGCTTCGATCGCACCTTCTCTATTAAAGTTGGTTAGATCTTTATTATATCTTACTGGACAACTGAACCACCCAGATATTTAAGTAGCACTGAAGCACATTGCCGAGCACACTCAATGTTTTACCTAACCCTTTAACTCCGAAGATCTCGTTAGTAATTCTCTTTAATGTCTGACATACAATTATTATAATGTCAGTTTGGAGAATTTGGTATTGAATCAACTAATAATCCCCTAATTGGTATTTTCCTTTATTCTCATCACTTCAATGCTCGATATTGCATTGATGATGTAAGGAGAAATTCTCGCTTGGTCACTCATGGGAGGAAAAGGCTTAAAGCCTTAAAACACTGGAAAACAGTGGTTCATGTTGTACATTCAATAATTCCGTTATTTCTGATACTATTTAGGTTGTAATTTTTTTTGTTGAGACAAACTCATCTTTACCATGTCTCAAAGGACAAAATCTGACCGTTGTTTAGACTTAAGTTTCTGTAAATCATTTCCTCACTTCAGTTCTCCGTGATTAAAAAAGCGCAGCTACAAATCTGGATTAAAAAGGCTACCGTAGAGATCACCAGAGAACATAACGTTGCAATTTTGGGCACGAAAGTTTATTTGTATTACGACTTTCTCCAAGCAAAGGTGTGAGTGGGAACCTGCGAAACCTGTTTGGGAAAAAACCAACATCTAGGGAATGTAACTCCCAAAACAGTTAGAAGTTGCTGACGCTTTTTGATAGGTATGATTAATGAAGTACAGTTATGCCTAACACCCTTACAATCACATGTGTAAATGATAGATCTGCAACTATAAAATTCTCACCTTTGGAGCATACACCAACAGCATTGTCAAAGGAGTACTCATGATCAGGCACATGGATAAAATGGCATAGATGGCGTCATAATACTCAGATCCTTTCAATGCCAGCGACGCAACGGAATCGATGATGGACATTCAGGGCAGCCATAGTGATATTGCGTGATAGGTTATCTCCCTTTGCTACTTTCGCCTTATCATTAGACATTTCTCGTTTAAATATTCATAATTTATGCACAAAAGAGAAAGAAATGAATAAAAAAAAACAATCGTGAAGATATGCATTATTAAGATTTGTCGCAGAAGAGCGCATTTGGAACAGCCATTGTCTGCTGACCCATAGTTATTTGTATTTCTTAACTAGGGTTCAACAAAACACAGTTTTATTCCCTTTTAAATTCACGAGTTGGCTCACCGAAGCCCTTTGATCATCAGTGTTATTCAGTCAGCGGAATAGACTGAGAAGAGGAAACAAATAGAGATCGTGTGTTTCAGCTGTGACAAAATAGGTTTATAGGGATGCATCAAGAAAGGTCAGTGTTAGGCTGCTTGCTTTTGTTGCATGGTATTTTATTTGTTTTCGGTCGCGCAATGCGTCCTGGCTGTCAAGTCGTAAGTGTAGTACACCGAAAAAATCCCTAAAACTCTACAAACTCGAGTTCTTTCTGTGTGCCCTGATGAAATATTTCCAAAATATCGAAAGAAACTTGACTTTTACAAGGAAATGTACAGACAACGAAGAGCGGAATGAAATACCTGAAGAGTGTCTCGAATTGTCACTGTCTGATTCTAACGAGTAGCACAGCGACAGGGGTTTATTCATCTTAGACCTGATTAATTATTAATACATTTCCCAGAAACTTTTGCGTGTCTTTTACCAAGTATGTTGAAGTTGTTGAAAATTCCGCCATCATGAGTATGCTACCAGCGAAAGTCACTGTATAATTAATTGATAGCGATAGCTACATGTACACAGTCTTGATCGGAGACTTTCATAGCGGAGGTTTCAAGGTGAGAATAGTTTGTGGTTGCTATATCGTTAATTTTGTTCACAAACGCGATCGTTTTTCTTAGCCTACGCCAGATCAAAAGATTTGTGGTAACACGCATGATCAGTCTCTTAACAGTACTGATATCGAAACTAAACCCACTTCTTGAGTCGAATTTGGCCGAAGCGGACAGATGCATTGCCAACTGAACAAAATTTGTCCCGGGTAAAAATTAGGCAAAATCGACTAATACTGAAACAAAACCGCGATAAACCGTTGTCAATCATTTGTCGTATAAGCCACAACTAGCGTGTAATTCAACTGTAATTAGTTTACTAGAAAGGCAAAAATTGTCTTTTGCTGCAAAACTCGGGGATCGATTGTATAATTTAAAGAAACATTGGAAGTGGAATCCTTCGGCAACTATGCTGACCGGTCTTATGAACAGATCAGGCGCTGACGGAATTTGTTGGCTTTGAAATTTTTAATGCGGATGCAAGAGACGTACCAAAAATTTGTCTTGACGAAACTTTTCTTTTGATTTTGTCGGGTCAATTCCAGTTTTGTCCGCTAGTACGGAAAGGCCTTAAGACCAAAGCTTTCAAAAATGTCAAACCATCAAAATTTACAATCTGCAATAGTTTACAAACTTAAATAGTTCGGCAGGTCGAATTTAATGCGTTTGCCTGAATCTGAAAGTGAAATGTTCAGTGAAATCCGGCCGAAATGTGGCTCATAAAAACAAGCAAGGGTTTCATGTAACGATAACAAACTGCTCAAGGCGTGGGTTTTATGAATAAACGACAGCCGAATTCATGAGAACATGAAGGTTGCTGAGGATGACTGTGCCGTAAAACTAGCCTGCTGTGACTGATGTGGCCTTCCACTCAACGCATCGGAAAGGGTATCAAAGCAAGCTCTTTGTTCACTCGAAGAGTGGTCGATGTAATTTCTGAGGCTTTTTTCCGTGCGATGACCGGAGATCGCGATGATGAGCTAGCCGCTCTGACACCGTCATGATTAGTATGCATTTTAACAGTTATGCCAGTTTGGCTATATTTTTCATATCATTCTTGTTTTGTTCTGCATTTTTTTTGAACATGAAAATATATATGCTATACGAGTGTTAGCTGAGTTTGATTTTTATTACCGTACGTCAGCTTGCAATCTATCTGAGCTTGAAAACCTTCAATATTAGGACTGCCCATTTCGTTTTGTCTCTGGATTTTCGTCCCTGCTCACTTTATAATAACGTAAATTACAGCGCTTAGCATGTTTACAAACCCTTGTTTGGTAATTCTGTTGTTACTTGCCGGCTTACTTGTTCCGAAATGTTTCTTTCAATTAACGAAAAAAAAAATTAGAGAGAAGTCCCGGAAAAGGTCGAACATAGTACAATTTAACAAATGGCTTGACAGCTTTAGCTCAGCTCTATGTTTTAGTTCAGATCTATGCTTTGTACTCTGATAGAGCACTCTCTTTCAACCCCTGGCAGCGAGCGTTATCAAGCGAGTCGATTGATTGTTCGTTAGGTCTGGCGATTATATTTACTCTGATCAGTTACGTGCAAATTTCGTGATCAAACGACACTATGAGTCCAATCCCAAGTGTTATTTATCTTCTTGCATCGTACGCACTTTCTTTATTTTCGTTATCATGGCCTCTAGTCACCATTTAGAAAAATATTATACCTAATGACCAACCGCTGTGTGCGGAGACTCAAATCGAATAGCCCCTCTGAGGAACTCAAAATGTCTTAAACAAGGACTGAGGCGCATGGTTTTATCTTTCCGAAGCTGATCCGCAAATTTTTTGACAACCATGCTATGTTAAAGCAGAGGGGGAGTCATTAAGTTCCTTTATTCCCTCACCAAAACTACATGTCTGTTATGTGTGTGTGACACTTGTGTAGCTGTTATATATTTCTATGATAAATGTTGCATTTATGTGACATTTGTGTGACATGATTGCACATACATGTGACATATACAGTATATGTTGGATATGTTATTATGTAAGGACTGTATGTGACCAGTATTAAGTTTTGGTAAGGTTTCACAGCCAGCTGGTTGCAATTTCACATTCTCTTCATATAGTATGTATTTTCAGTTTTCTATATATTGCAAGGTGCATATGCATATGATTTAGGGCCAATATCTTCAAAATTTTCTCTTCAGAAGTAAATAAATGCTACTTATATACAGAAATGAATTGATGCCTGAAGTTGTATTAAACTTTGATTAAATGGACAGTATGATATTCTGGAGGCTTTGTCCTGGCAAAAAGATGGTAAATTCAATTACATGTTAATACTTTGCCTAGGGTCATTCCTTAGTATTGCACATTTTCACTGTGTATAATTTCACATGTAACTATGGTGCATACTTCATAAAAATGGTGGCCAATTATTTTGTCCTGGCAAAAAGATTGTAAATCCAGTTACATGTTAATACTTTGCTTAGGGTCATTCCTTAGTATTGCACATTTTCACTGTGTATAATTTCACATGTAACTATGGTGTATGCTTCATGAGAATGGTGCCTTTTTTCTCCATGGGAGCTCACCATAGAAGTAAATTGTCATTTTCTCGCGATTGAGTTTGGGAACTTACAGTGTACCATTTTTCTCCTTCTTGAAATTGGGAAATCATTTTCTCTCTGTCAAACAACTATAAACCAATTCTTAGTGTAGGAGAAGGAAATAATTTGATAAATGCCATTTTAGCAAATTCTCACAAATATAACTGTCATGATATGAACTGGAATGATATGGATATCTAGAAGGTACTGCTGCTCATAAAAGAGCATGGAACCTCCCTTTTTTGCTTCAAATTGTACTTTCCCTTAAGATCAGCAACCTTGAGAGAAAATTTTAGCAGGGACCGCGGGATTAAAGAACCCTTTTGGGAAGCCTCTGTAGAAGTATCAGCCTTTGAAAATGCACCAAGCAAGGAGAAAATCTATAGATTAAAAAAAACCTTGGCAAATATCATATTAAAACTTTGATCCCCAAAGAAAATACCTTCACGAAGTTATACATACAAGTTTCTTACACTTCACCGGAGTAGACTATTATCCTGCACTGATCATGATATGATGTGACATGTTTACAATTATATCATTATTGACAGTAAGGGTCGGTAGCATTTTACATGGATTCTACACAGCCTGTACCATATCAGATGTCTGTCAGTATATCACAGAAATGACTATAAATAATATTTCTATGAAATACATACCTCAATATCAACGTCCCTAGGTAACAGATTTTCTGTAAAAAGAAAAAAATTAGTAAGGCTGCAAATATTATTTTTCGCTTCAAAAGGCCATATGCCAGACTGCATCACCATTTTGATGACATTTGCTCTAAGAAAACAAAAATGTGGTTTATTGTGACAGGTCATGTCTCCCTTTGCTATTTTTCGCCTTATCAATAGACATTTCTCATTGAAATATCAATAATTTTGCATAAAGGGAAGGAAAGTGAAGAAATAAAAAACAATTGAGAAGATATGCATCATTGAGATTTGTCGCAGAAGAGCACATTTGGAACA